GGGATTTTGCCAATAAATTCTGTGTTACCATTAAAGAGGCCATTCATCATGCTTACTAATGTTATTAATCAAGATACACCACAGTACTCTTAAAATGAGATCATTTTGATAAATCATGTATGACATGAAAAGACTTTATTCCTTTTAAGTGCAATTTAGACTGTAATTTTTTTCCTCATTTATGATTCATGGGAGAAACATGGATAAAATTCCCTTGCACATTTACACCTTATCTTCAGTAATAATTCAAAACTGCTCTTAAATGAAAATTCAAGGGCTGATTCACCAAAGCTGAATGCCAGCTCATTATTTTCTGGCATTCAGTAGTCCAAAAATAATGTCTATACATTAGGTGCTTTTCACAATAGTTGAATTTGGCTGCACACCAGACATATCGATTACACTCAATTAAGCCTAAATGCATAAGAATTATCTGATGTTCATTTGCATTTTTGATCCCTGCTTTCAACCTTGCAATTTAACATTAAGTGAAAACCAAAAGGTAAAGTAAATTCAAGAGAGRAATGATAATCTCTCATATAAGAGAACAAGGGAATGCTTTGAATCTTAATGCTTTGAATCTTAAACTCCAGTACTTCTGTTAAATGAGAAAAAAATCTCTTTCATTTTCTTGTTAAAGGTTATTGAAATTGGAGGCCAAATCAAAATATAATGTCACTGTTCTCCTCGTTGTCCTAATACTATGACAATTTGGCTACTGTAAATAAGCTGCTAAAATGTCTGGAATGAATATTTTCTAAGGTCAAAATCGTACTTACAATTACAGCTGAAACACTTGTATTATTGATTAGATTTTAAAGTGTCAGAATTTTTTTTTGTTTACTCCTCTCTTTAAAAGTATAAAAATGAAATGTCTAGTAGAGAAATTTAATTTGGATAGCAGTCATTTAAATTTTACTGTTTCTCAAACCATGATTCAAAGAGGATTGGCTTGTCTGAGTTACAGTTCCCCSTTTACCTCCTTCAACAGCTGAAATATTTGAAGGAACTTGTATGGTTGCCAAAAATAGCACAGCATTTTTATTTTTGAATCATTGGTCTCTACAAATTTGTTTTGATGCAGCAGATGTACAGTATGTCCTGATACTACACATGAGMTGTTCCCTTACTAGTACCATCCAACTACTGCATTTTTTATTCCTTGAAAAGTGGAATTCAGGGATTAAACAAATTAGCGCTTTTTTTTTTTTTCAGTCTGATTAGATTCCTCCACTCTTGAGAGTTAGTTGCCAGTGTGTGGCTGACAATTTTCTTCTAAATGGGTTATTTTTTTTCTGTTCATTAATTTATGCTGGAGGTGTAGCAAAGACAAYTGCTAACTGGTGGCTCAGTCTGCTTGGCTGCGGAGCAAGGAAATTGGGAAATCCCATTCCATCACCTTCTTCCAGATAAGAAGCCTCCTTMCAGATAAGGATGCTTTGCCACCCCTTGGTTTTCCAGAACACCCCAGTGTGTTGAGRTGGGTGACACACTCTGGGCAGCCCATCTGAGCCCTCTGGCTGAGCTCTGAGCTGGGGAGGGACAGCCAGACCTGCTGGACTCTGCCCTGCAGAGTGTTCTCCTCAGATCCTTCTTGTGCTTGTTTTCTAGACTCTTTCTCTTTCCCTTCCTTCATGCTTCATCCTTTTTTTTTCACTGGCTGTATGGTTCCTAAGTTCATAGAAAAGCAAATATATTGCAGATAGTTATTCTTCCCTGACYGTTCCCTAGAGTGGAATAAAGACTTGGTGTGTTGTTGCTCTCCAATTTAGTTTTTGGTGTTTTGTTGTGKTTTTTTTGGTTGGTTGTGGGGTTTTTTTTCTTGCTTTAGCTCTTACAATATCTGTGATTTTGATGAACATGCTTTGCAAATCTTTCTACAGTCTATTTAGTAACAAATACTACAATTTGGACAAAACACACAGGTTAATATGAAGAGGAGTACCTCAGTTTAGAAATGTTTGGTTTTGTGCATAGCATGGGGGCTGTGAGTAGTCTAACTTTACTTGTCTTTTACGTCTCAAACCACATAGTATGATGTACTGCAAAACTCAGATGACTTTAAGGTTTGCAAAACTTCAAGCTTCTTCTGTAATGATACTGTTAGAATTTCYTTACTGAGCTATTTGGTGATCTGTTCCTATAAAACCAAAACTACCAACCCTTTTAAACAGCTTTCCTCAAAGCTTTTTGTATGTAGAGTTACTTTCCACTGCAACAAGAACTTCTGATGCATGTGTCACCAATACTTGAAGACATAACTGTCACATGTCAGTGCTGTCACTGTCACAATATTCCTGTGAATATTAAGAGTAATGCAATCTATACAAATCTCTTTGGAAAATAGCTTAGGGCCAAATGTCACTATGTGGTAGGGAAAACAAATAGTTGTCTTTCTGCTGGTGCACAGGCTTACTCAGGAACGTGATTGGGAACTTGAGCCAGTGTTTGTGCAAAACAATCCTAACCCTGGATGATATTCCATAGAATTGAAGTTGCTCTAACTGAATGCTTAGCTCGAAGGTAATGAAAACTGTTCTATATTTGACAGGGAATTATATACTGTACATAAAACAACAGAAAAACACCAATAAACAAACCCTTCTGTTCTTGCTTTTCCTAAAATTGGAAATAAAGCTAAATTGCCCCTTCACTCCAATATCCTTTTTAGAAGCTCTTGAATTTTGCTCACTCAGTGGTATATTGCTGAAATGGCAAAGTCTCTTCCAGTAATTTTAGGAAAAGCTATCATCAAGCTGKCAACAGTCTAAATTGAGATTAAAAGTACCAAAGAGAAACCTTCACTATTATCAGAGTCCCAAATAAGTACACTTGAATAGGCAGATAACATCTCGAGTGTACAGTATGAGACCACTTATTCTTCCAGTTTTTGGAGTGATTTACAGGGATAAAGTCTGATGTTAAATAGTGACATTTTWCTTCTTTTCTTACCCAGAACTACTCGACCCAAAGAAAACATGCAGTTGTGAACAGATGCCTGTTCTTGGAATTGGTTTCAAATCTCCCATGGCTGGGTGTAAGGGGTTTCTGTCTCTCCTCTGASATGTTATGTGCCCTTGGCTCATATTGGTCGTCAGAGAGATTTCCAATAATTCATAGTCCAGAGTAGATTGAGCTGCAGGTTTGCAGTTCCCCAAAMTCAAGGTATTATTCATTCTGGCTGCAGGTGAGTTATGTCTCTAGCGATCTGTCTCTGAACAGGAGGTTCCCTGAGAAGGGTTTATTATCACCAGTGAGTCAGCAGAGCCAGGATATTCTATATTCACATCCAATAAGTAGCATCCTTGCTGTTTAGGTAAACTTGTCTCTGTTAAGACMTATTAAGATGCTTGTTTTGATGCATGATGCATTTTCATATTGTGACCTGATTTTTCCTAGGGACAGAAATAGGATTTTAGCTCTGGTCTGACACAGAAATTGATGGCTAATCTCYAAAAGCAAAAGCTGACTATGCTAATCTACTCAGTCACCTCTTAATATTTTTTATGTACCATCATTTGAGAATCCAACAGCTACAATGAGGAAGATTTCCAAGATACAGCCTTTAACAAACTGTTGCCATGATTCTTTTTCATTGTTGTGGATTTCTGTTTATTGTTCTTGGGTTTGGTCTGGTGATTAAGGTTTGAATCAGTATTTATGCTTTTTCTTCTCCAAAATATTTTACCCCTATTTTATACTTTTATATTAACCAGCTATTGTAGAACTGGGGTTTTTTACAAGTAAAAAAAAAAAAAACTATAAATTTTGAGGATATGCTTAATTATAAAGTACATAAGATTGAGGTGGATTCCTTTGATTGATTTCTGCAGCTTGTGAGGTCAATATATCATTAGGGAACAAACTRCACAGAAGATAACAATTATTTTCTCAAGGCTCCCTTTAGCGAGTTGTCATGAGATTCAAGAAATAGTTTAGCTTTTGTATTTTTCTCTTTATTTGCCTAATTTTTTCTATTAGAAATGATCATGTAACTTTTGGTGAGCACTGCCCTTTGTGTCTTCTATTTAAACACATCATCTTGTTATGTCTGTTGAGATGGGTAGGTTGTAAATATTCCAGAGCAAACTCTGTATCTGAAACTGGGCATATCACTACCACATCACCAGCCTAAGTTAAACTGAATTTTAAAAGCTGACAATGATTCATATTTGCCAACACAATCCTTTCTTTTCATATCTTCTCCTAACAAGACAATACTGCTTCTCTATAACGGAAAAGCAAGATTTTAAATGTGGCTTGCCTCAGTGTTATATGTTTTTTCTAAATCTTTCCTTCAAYTGAAACATCCTACTGAGCAAAGGTTGGTTTATTGTAAACTATAGCTCTTCAGTCAAATCTTTTTAAATTGGATCATAGGATTTGAGACTTATTATGGAGAAAGGTTTGTGTTTCTTCTCCCTTAACATTTTATTTTTAAGGGTTCTGAGCAAGTCCTCTTGGGTACTTATTTCTTTTATTAGACTTCTGGTGTTTTAAGTGTTTATTGTTAACAATTCTACATATTTGTAAAACTTTTTACATTACAGTCGCTATAATTTGTAATAGATCTGTTCATTTAGCTCACAGGGCAGTGGAATGGGAAAATAATTTGGGATTTTCTTCTTTAGAGTTGAAAAGTACAGAATTTTATCCCARCTTTCTATCTCCTTTCTTGGATGGACTCATTCATATCTTCCTTTAATTAATCTGTTTCACCAAGTGAAGATTTTTTGACGATGCCTAAAGATTTCCTGAAAAAAATGGGAATTTTTGAAAATATTCTCTTAGCAACAATATTTAATGTCACAGTGTAAACTCTTGCGAGTACAACAACMTGGAGGAATTGCCAGCAGCTTTAACAAAAACAAATTAATCCTGCATGGCTGTTGGTGCCGTGCACCTGTGAGCGCATCCCAGCCCTGATCCTGCAGGTGCCCCCGCTTTGTCTCATCCCTCCTGGCACTCAGAGCAGTGACYGTGTTTGTTCTGTCTCCCAGGCCCCCAGTGCTGCTGCTCCTGCCTCTCCAGAGATGCCCTACACCCCTCTGCCTTCGGGATCCCGRGACCTCACCAACCACAGAGGTACGAGCTGCTTTTATGGCTGTGAGCCAGGGGGGAAGCTTTGCTCTCAGACCCTCTCTGCTGCATTTCACTTTATAGAGAGCACCGTGTGAGGAAACCATACCTGTCAAGAACACAGATTTTAACTCATATTAAATAGGATTTACAGGTAGTCTACCGGGAAAGCAAATAAATCTATGGATAATAACGTTCAGTGATTTTTGTGTGTGTGAGAGAGGAAAACGTAGAGAGATTAGAGTACTTAAACACTGCTAAGTAGATGATTACATGCAGCATTGGTAATTTTGAGMGAATTTGTAAACTTTCTAAAATTTTTTAAGTGAGAACGTTTTGGCAGTTTAGAAATTTAGGACTGCAATTTTGAAATGTTAACACATTTTCATTGCAATAAAAAGGAATTCTTCTCTGTTTTTCAACATTAAAAGTGGATCAGTGTTCAATTTCCTTTTTCATCAATCCTTAGAACTTAAAAAGCACCTTGGGCAAATTCACAAATTCCTTCTGCATACCTATGAAACAAAAAGTTCAGGGAACAGGTGAAAAATCTGAAGCGCCAGGAAGGGTGCATTCCAAACTTTTTCACCTTTTTTTTTTTTTTATAAAAAGGAGACATTTGTGAAGCTTTCAGCAGTTAGCTTAAAACCAAAATATCAATTCTCTTATTTATTTCCTTTATTACACATTGATTCTACACTGATCATGTAAACCATTTGTGTAGAAGCAGATTTTGTTTAGGACACCAGGATCAAAGTCAGCCTTATATTTATGAATTGATGGTAGCTTAATTTTAGTGTGTGTTCAAATTCTCCAGTACTACAGAAGATGGAAGCAGCTGCAGTGGAATTCCACATTCTTGAAATCTTCTGAAAGAATCAGGGAGGTAATGCACCTGGAGAAGGATCTGTGATTCAGGTGTGAAGGATGAGGAAAGCAGCTGATGGGAATTTAATTTGTTGCAGCCTGGATCACTATTGACCTGGAGCTGAGGATGAGTGTGGAGCTCCATCCTGGCTTTAGTGTAATTGCTGTGGTGTACAGGAAATCAGGTGTCCCAAAAGTTCTGTGGGTGCACTGTGTTCTGTGTGACACTGAGAAACTGATAATTTTTAAAGAAAAAGCACCAACTAAAATCCTGAATTTGCACATACACCTAGATTTCAGAGATTAAAAAAAAAAAATTAACTCCCCTACTAAAAAMCCCCTGCAACCCAGTGCCCTTCTTCCCTGCCCTCCCTCCTCCCCCATTACCAAGATAAGTAGCTTTGTTTTTCAGATAAACTTGTTGGCTTTGAAGTTGGATTTCTGGTGTTGGATTAAACRGCTAGGGTCTACTAAGACAATAAATAGCATGACAGAATGTTGTAAAGCCCCAAATTCTATGAAAATACTTTAAAAGTACCCTTAAACCCCAGGTATCTACACGTTTTTTATTTAGATGGTAGTATATGGGAAGTGTGGCTGCAGTGGGTGCTGGCCAGGCTCTAAGGACCTGCTATCAAACAGAAAATTATATTCCCCAAATCATCAACTTCCTACCCCTAGCTGTTCACATAATTTTTATTACTTCTGTCTTTACTCTTCCCAGAAATATTCTGCTCTGCATGCTAAATATGCTGAAAATTTCCCTGTGATTAAGCACAGCTATAAATAAAGTGAATGGTGAAGAGAGTGTCATCCAAAGAAAGGGTAAAATTGGTCCTTAAAGAGACGTTGTTAGCATGATCTGGCAAGTTCATATATGTGTGTGTAAATATATATACACATATTTACAAGGAAATAATTAAGGAAACTTTCCAAAATTCCAGGTGTAGGAAGAACCAATTCCAAGCTTAGAACAACCTGCTGGCAAGGCCCATTAACTCAATCAACTTCTTTTATACACAGAAAAATCTCTAAGTTCACAGGCCCGTAAAAGATTACTTGCAGTCAATAGAAAAATCTCCGCGGAAGGAATGAARTACTTAAGCATGCTATTTTAGGTTCAGAATATCTTCAATTTTTTTTCTTCGCTTTCAGTGTTGTAAAGTAGAATTGAATCAGCTGTTGCATATGTAAATATTGGYGGTTTCAGTGCACACTGGAATGAAGAATGCTGTGAGTTTGTGAGTGTTATTTGTCCCCGGAGAAACTTGTTTACCAGAATCCTGAAGTCTGGCAAATGGTTTGGTACAGCTGTAAATTGATTTTTGGGGAACGGGGAGGGGGAGCAGGAGGAAGCTGAGTGTATTTGGTGCAGTTTCACTTGGACATTTCTCACTCTATTAAGTAGGATTTTTTACAGGGAGAACAAAACCATATAATTATGCATGGCTTGCACCATGTGTCTTACAGATTTTGTGTTCGTGTATACAGTGTTCATGCATAATTTCCAGTCAGGATCTGGTCCTTTTAGGGTGGCTCCATATTTTGTACAGACAATTTCAGGAATGGTGACAATCTCACTCTCCCTTTCAAGGCCCACAGAAACAGTTTGTAATGGTGGGATGTCAGCATGGAACGATATGGAACGATCACTGTAAATATTACATCGAGTGTTATGATGCTTGAGWTATGTAGACAGAAATAAATATTGGATACGTGTTTTTAAGCTTCAGAAAATTTCTCCCCATCTTGGGAAAATTGTTTTCCCTTATATTACAATGTTGCTTAGACCCACTTTTCTAAGTTGAACCTTCCCTCAGTCCTACTGTTTACAGTTTTTAGTAAAAAAATCTACTCACCACCTATTTATATTTTGGGCATCTGACAACAGTATGATTTGATTCTTAATGTGATCTAATTGCTGTCCCATTAGACAARCCTTCCAAAGTGGTAATTCTATAGCTAGCTGTGTTTTTGTTTTTATTCCAAGGCAATGATCTCAAACTTCTTAGGGTCTTCCCTTGGTCTTTGTTAAATGATTATTTTGTCTTTCACTTTATATGGATTTAGAACCCAATGATTTACTTGATGAAGTTTGTGCAGTTCTCTCACCTACCTTAAGCAAGTCACAGCCTCCTGCCATACAAAGTGCTTCTTCTGTTTCTGTATTCTATACATTGCTTATATCATTCTAGTTATCAAATTTTCTGATGAGGTAAAATAAATAAGGTCCACATATCTATCTSCTTGTTTAGATCTACCTTTATGGAAAGAAAAAGTCAAATAAACGGAGCAGTTACTTATTTTTGGTTTTAAATAGTAATGGCCATGCTCTCAGTAAACAAAAGCAATGAAATGTAGCACCTTTTAGATATAATTGGTCCACAAATTTTGGTGCCTACATAATTTTATTCTAGTAGTTTTTAGGTATGGGCCAAGTACCCTTCTGTTCTTTATTGATAATCTATTAACTCRGTACATATCTTAAAATAGGAATTTCAATTCTCTGCACAGTTGTCATAGATGCAAAAGGAATTTTAAAGTCCTAATAATGTATTGGTAAGAATTATTTGTCTGATGTGTGGAAAAAGGCCCTTCACCCCACTCAGGTTGTATTTTTTTTTTTTTTTTTATAATGGCACCTTTGGTATGCAAGTGTCTTTATGTGTAAGGACTCAAACTCAAATTGCCTTCTAAAAAGAACAGTGCTTTCTAGTTGTTAGGGAAAATAGTAATTTATCTTTCTATCTCTTCAGAAGCAATATCACTAAATCATGACTACCATGAAAATCAGGGKTTTTTTTTCCCATACAAAAGCATATGTTGGATGCCTTTTGTATAAACAGTTATTTTATAACATTGTCTATTACCTGATTTACTTGAAAACATATTAATTTGCCAAAGCTATTTGGTTTCCAGTAACATTTTACAGATGACTCCTCCTTTTCTTGTGCTCTTGTTTCTGGGAAAAAACAGTGGCAAGTCTACCCCATAGCTTACTGGTAAAAGGAAGAAGAAGCAGTTTCCATTAAAAACTAAGCCTGCATTTATGTGAGTAGTTTGTAGAGCCTTAGCTTGAATTTGGGCCAAGGTTTAATAGTYCTAATCTATTATGACTCGTAAGAAAGTTCTGAAGAAATCCACTGTCCTGTTTTGGTGTCTATACGGTTAATTATCCACGTGTTCTGGTATGTGCAGGCATTGCATTGTCTTGTTTTATATTTGAATGATGAGTGCCCAAATGAAAGGTTGGTATTTATTCTACCMATATGCTTGAGTCAACTGACAGACATGTTTTCTTATTTTATAATCTGATTTTGAAAGTCATAAACTGCATTCAGATCCAACGCCCAGAAATCCAAGAGCAGAATATTTTGGAGCTTCTTACTAACCTTCTATAGGTAATTTCATAGACACTTTTTGAACAAAGGAAATGAGATGTTCCTTCTGCTCTCAGTTTCTCTTTTTGTCTGTCACAGGGATGTGCTGAAGGTTTCTTTTGGGATCTCAATCTTTCCAAACTCTCATATTTCTAAGCAAACCAAAGTATGTGGGCATATAATCTGTTAGAGATACCCGAATTTACTACGTTTTCTTCCTCTGTAATTGTTCTTCTGTCTTTCTGTTCGTATGTAACTAATAATATCAATCAATCTTTCCGGAATTTGGTCTAGAGTTTTAATAACTAAAATCTTTGAAGTAAAATTATAAAATTGGTGCACACCTCTTAATAATAAATGTTAAAGCACAAAGTTCTTATTTTACATGTGCATTGTGAACAGCCATGCTGTCTTTAAATCATAAACATAAAAAGAAAGGGAAATTGGTTTTCATACAAACTTACTCCCAGAAAGATAAAAATCCTGTTTATGTTATCATTGTGGTCCTCTCGGTTGTTGTTATTGACACACTTGTTAGGTRCTCATTGTATTTTCAAGCCAGAGGCTTATTTAGAGTTTGAAATTGATTGCTGGGGAAGTTGCAAAGCAATTTATGTAGCAACTTATCATAATTAGTTAGTTTTCTTRGTGTGAACTGCACTTTATGCTTGTCAATTGATTTTTTCTGTGTATATGCATAAAGCAGCTCATTGTATTCTGTAAAGAAAACCCAAAAAATCCAAACCTCAAAAAACCTAT